CACTACTGCTATATTCTCCAGATGGTCCAGAAGGATTTGATTTTCAATAGTAGCAAAAGCAACTGAAAGGTTAAGAAGGGTCATATCCATGCAGCCCTCCACCCCAGTTCTTCTCTAGATGTTGACCAGGACAGCTAAAGCAGTCTTGCGACCAAATCCTGACTCAAAACTGATTGCAATGTGTGTTATCCAGAAGAGCCTGGATTTCCAGGTCATACTGCCTCCCCAAAGAAGCAGAAAATTATATTAGTATTCATTTGACAAATCCAGAGAGGACTTCTTGAAGCATTGACCTATCAAGGCATCCTTCAGATCAGACAACATGTAAAGAGGCATCTGTGTGTCAAGGCAAGGAACCAAGCTTTTCTTTAAGCTTTTTGTTTTTTTACCATTAATATGTTTTAATGATCAAGTCAGCAGAGGTTACATTGTCAGGTAAGGGAGTCTGAAACCAATTACGGTAGCTAACATTATTTTGTACTTAGTCCTTCAAAGTCCTTTTTTCCTTACAGAACTGAATAAAAAGAGTTCATTGATTGCAACAGGTATGACGGGAAGCGTTTCAAAGATTCCTTTATTTTTTCCCATTTTAGAAAAGGGGGTAAGTTTAAAAATCAGAATCTGACCTTGAAGCAAGTGGATTGGACCTATATAATATTTACACTGGTCTCATTTATGATGGGGCTGTGGATATTTGGGGTGTCCCCCTTTAAGGTTGAGCAATATATTTTTAAGATCACACTTACAGTGGGTGATATTATGGCATTATCTGGATATGGAAAGTATGTCATTCCAATTAAAGATATAGAGATTACAGGTGGTAGGATTATTGGGAGGTATTGGGGAAAGCGAATCTCTCAAACGTAAGTGGTTGTGAAGGAGAAAGAATGAAACTGACTGGGACTACTTTAAGTTAATGGTATCACTTCACAACATTTTGGAATGGGAGATTTTGCACCAAATATAATGTAGATTCATTATTTTGCTATGAAAGATCTGTCAGTGGTTTAGTATTATTTGAGCAGACTTGAGCAGTGATAGCAAATGGTAACAAAAACATGAAACTACATTTTGATTCATCCTATATGATATTTGTATTTTTAGATGCTTATACATTAGTTACTAGTGTAAATTGCCCCAACATATGTGTTTGGGAATGGTAATCTGTGACTTGGTGTGTATTATATAGAGCGCTAGGCGTTTAATTCTGTTCAGCTTCTGTACTCAGAAAAAGGACTCTCCTTCTAAGGAGCCTTGTTAACTCTAGGTCTGCATCAAAAGCAGGGCAAAGCGAGGCTGTGTGGTCTTGGGAAGTCATTTCAACCAGATTAGATTGTTCGCAGGGTGCAGAACTGCCCCACTGGGGAAGCGACAAAGGAAGCTGAAAGCGGCTGGGTCCCCGCCCTCCCTTCCAAGCCCGCCCTCCCCTTCCCAAGCCAGGTGCAGCCTCACGGGGGCGGGAGGGGGAATGTTTCCAAGCAGGGAAATGTAACTTGCTGGGCTGCCCCGTCTCCCCAAGAGCGCACCTCGGACCTGCCTCGGCGCCCCTTCCTCCCTTCCCACGGTCCGTGTTTGAGTTAGTAATGGGGGTTTAATTGGGGGAGGGAGAGCAATTGCCCTCTCCCTGAGGAGGAGGCCCGCCTCTTCGCCTCGGCATTTATTGCCCTACAAATTGTTACTTCCTCCTCGCCTCCGACTTCACAGCGCCGCTTGTAAATCACTCACGTCGAGGCGCTCCAGAGAAGCGCAGCAGCGGGGGCGCGCGCGGACCGCTCAGCAGGCGCAGAGGAGCGTCGGATTCAGGCGCAGGCTGCCGGATAGGTTCGGGGGTAAATTCTGAAGTGCTGGCGCTCTTCAGGACAACCTCCGTGGCCACACACACACACCCTTCTAAGAATTTTGGTGCAATGCCTAGAAAGCCAGTTTCTCTCCCTCTCTCCCTCCCAACTCCCGCTTTGTTTCACATCCAGCCTGACGAAGAACTCTGGTGGAGTCGAACCCTTGCTCACTATTTGACGACAGGTTGGTCCTAATAAAGGGCCTTTGGACCTTTCCCAAATAAAACTGGCAGATGGACCCTTAGCCATGCAGACTGATGTAACCCCTCGCTTCCACCACTGAGATTGTTTTCTGGTTTTCTCTCTGAAAGAGGACAGGAGGGGAGTCCCTGCTTCGGCAGCCCTGGAGAGAGGATGGAGAGATGAACGAGGTCCTCAGCCCAGCCAGGAGGCAAATATGGAGAGGAGAGCGTAAGAACACACACACACACAAAACACACCAAAAAACCACAACCTTCCACGCCACCCATCAGCTCGAAAAGTGGGGTGCGCTTGTCTCTTTTCTTCCCAGTTTACGAACCAATATCTCACCACCCCCCCATGCGTTTTCGACTATGCAGATCGCATTTCTTTCAAAGCTCGTATCCGGTTCAGGACACCTAGATCTGAAACGGAATGATGCCGGATCCCTTGAAATAACTAGGCGCTAGTGCTGCGTGGTTTCGACGGAAAGTGCGCAGCCTGATCCTAAGGAGGCTGACTCAGAAGCAGGGGTGCCGCCAACTTGAATAAAATATTGCGGGGGTCCAAGTAAGCCCTGCCCCGCATAATCGATCACATGGCAATGCCCATCAAGTGGGGGGCGGCCCCTCAAATATTTTATTGGAGGGCGGGCGAAGCCCCTTCGGCCCCTAGGAGTTGGCTCCTATGCTCAGAAATAAGTGGGTCGAACTAGGATCAGGGAAGTCAGGGTTCAAACCGGTCTCTCGGCCTAGCCAGGGTTGTCGTGAGAAGAAAACGGAGAGAGGTGGGCGAAGAACCCTGTACAGCACCTTGCACCTTGGAGAAAAGGTGGGGATAGAAACGCAATAAATAAATGAGCGTTGCTCCTTTATCTTCAAGGAGGATAGGCTCAACATGGTTTTCTTGGTTAAGGCGCTTTGGGGCTGCAGCGATTTGGGGGCATTCTCTCTCTCTCTCTCTCTCTCTCTCTCTCCTTTTTAAAAAAACAGATTTCCAGAAAGAATCGCTGACCACATCCGACTCCCAGCCCTCGCTTCGAATCCGACCACATGAAAGTGGTGCCCCCGCCCCAAAATGTCCACCGGACGAAACGACCACGTCCCCGAGTGGGATGGCGCGCTGTGGCGCAGACGGGCTGCCTGGCTTCGGGCAAGGGCTCTGCAGGGAGAGGCAGCCCAGGCTCCCGCTGTGGAAAGTTCACTGGGGGCCACATTCGTTGTTTGGGAGGAAGAAGGGCCGGTTCAGCCCGTCTGCATCCCTTGCCCTAAAAAGGAAGCTCACGAAAGAGCGCTGGCTGACTGTTGCAGAGGGGGAGCCCGCCGCTGCTCGGCGCCCGTGGCCGAAAGGGGGCGGAGAACGTCTGAGGTGCTCAGCTTGAAAGCGGCCGCGGTAATGCGAGCGGGATGGAAGGCAGGAGCTTGCTGCTCTGCCGCCCACGCCGTCCTCCCCCCCCCCTTTCTGCTTTTAAGGCAGGCAAGGGCGCATCAAGATGAGGAGAAGGTGGTCAGGGAGGAAGGGGGGCTGCACACACACACACACACACACACACACACACGGTCCTGGCGTCCATTCCAGACAGCTTCTTCCACAACCCTCCCCAATCCCCAAAACCAGCCCTGAAATGTGCTTGGCGAGGGCGAATTCGTGCCCAGCGCCTTGCTCCTGCCTTTCCAAGCCATCGCCCCGCCCCTCCCGCTCTGCTAAGCAGGTATTCCGCTTCACCCGTTATATATACATTGTGTACACACACACACACACACACACACACACACACACGTGTCCCACTTGGAAGGGGAGAGATTTCACCCACAATCCCGGATTCTCACCGGCATTTATAATTCCGGACGCACAACCCACCACCAAAGTTAAGCACCGTTGATTTCAGTGCGCTTGACTTTAAGACCCGTTTTAAATCCGTGGGGGAATTGGTTTGTTGTTTGTTTGTTTTAAATGCCTTAACAGTGGTATCCCCCCTAAAAAGGTGAACTAAAGCTTCAATACTATGATGTTAAAAACGCGCACGCGTTATGGGTGATATCCAACATTCATACGCAGAGTAGACCCAATGGAATCAATGGACTGAAGTCAGGCTGGGCACGACTTAAAATTGGAATAATAATAATAATAATCCCCTGTCTGATCGATTTCTACTTGTGAGTTGGAAATCATGGGAAAAGGAGAGATGGTTGAAAAATGTGTGGCTGAGAGTCTTTAATATTATATTTTATTTCACATGAAAGAAGATTGAATGATTGGGTGTCTTTTAGGTTTTTAGAGGGGCTGCATCCTAAGCACATTCCTGAGTAGGCTCAGGTTGCCCAAGTGAAACTGACTAGATTAGTTTACTCACCTACGACCAGTCCTTCAGGGAAGTAGGATTTTCCGGTTACCCCCAGTGCGTCATCTCTTGAAATCTATACAATTCGCTCCAGTTGTAGGTTCTTTGAGCAGATCAGGACATTTCACCGAGCTACTTCTGTCCTTAGCACCGTTTTTACCACTCGCCATTGAACAAGCAGGAGACTGTATTTAGCAGGTTACACTACAGCCATTGGGGTTTTATTTTCTTTATTTATAGAAGCTTTTACAAAGCGATTTAAAACAAACGAACGCAAAAGGAACCTCTCTTTACGAACAGTTCTGTAAGGGCGGACAGAAGCAACATAGGTAACTTACCACATAGAGACAAGCACATCTGTGTTTTTATTTATTTATGCATACATAAATAAATTTAATCCGGTCAATTGTATGACAGCCATGCGACGTTCCCATACCTAGTGGAAACCAGGAAGCTGGCCGAAATTTGGCTAATTGATTGATCCACCAAAAAGTGTTTCCTTTCATCATTCCATACAAAAGGAAATCGTTTAAATCACCAAAGGCTGTCTGTGAAATCTTTGAATGCTGCTGGTGGTTGGTGGTTTCTCTCCCTCCCCCCGCGATTCTTGAGCTGCTGCCCAAACCTCTTTTCTCATGCTTCCTTTTCGTTTTAAACGTCTATTTGGACGCCAAGTCGTCCGTCCTTGTCACGCATTGTGAGCCTGTGGGGATCGAGAAAAGCCGGTGCCCGACCCCAGGAGCGCGTTTCTCTCAAGGTAGATATTTTCAGATGCAAAATCACTTTTTCAGTTAGGAATTGAGGGGTTTTTTTTGGGGGGGGAGATAGGAAACCATCCGCCCCATCCCTCGTGTGGGTGGCTGGGTGGGTGTGAGGGGGCGATGTGGTGCTCTGCAAAAGGCCACCCGGGAGCGTGCGTGCGCGTGTAGATGCGCGCGCCCTCGCGGCTGGACGCAGTGCTGCGAGCCTGCGCGCTCTCATCTTGGATGCGGTCTGGAAGCTCACCCGGGACTTGTCTCTTTTCCTCTCTTGCGCTATTATCAGATCAGTCTCCTGTGGCCGGGAGCGCCTTTCCTATGTACGAGCCGTCGATTAATGCGATGTCCCCCTAGCCTCTCTCCTGGCATTTCGGGACCCCAGTTTCCCTTCCTACCTCCTCTCCCCTCCCCTCCTTTTCCTCCCCCGCCTCCCTCCCTCCCTCTGTCATTCTGGAGCCCTGAAGACTGCCCTGATCGCAGCACCGCCACTTAATCCAAACAGCTGGGCCTCTCCAGTTTGCTTTCCTCGACGACGTCTATTTACTTAAAGAGATCTAAAACCAATTAAGAAGGGGGAGAGGAGGAAGAGGGAGGGAAGAAGACGAGGAAACCGACCTGGATTGAAACAAACAAGCAAGCAAGCAAACAAACAAGCGAGCGAGGGAGCCAAGGAGCCCCCCCCCCGCCCGCCCGACGAGAACCGCAACCTAGCGGCCGCCTCGTCCATGCGTCCCGATTGGACCCGGCGCGCCGGTGGCCACCTAGGAGAGCTGCTTCGGCTGCTGCAGCCCGGCGGTCTTCCCTGATGGGCCCGTCGGGGCTGTGCTGTGCCCGGAGCTGAGCGCCGCTGCGGCCCCCGCCATGCCACAATGGTGACCGCCTGGCTCGTCCTGCTGAGCGCCTTGCAGGCGGCGCGGGGCTCCCCCGGGCCGGCGGCGGCCGACGGGGCCCCCGTGGGGCCCCCGTGCGCCCGGGGAGGGCCGTCGTGCGACCCGCGCTGGCGTAGAGACGCGGGCGGGCGCGGCGGCGTCTACGAGCATCTCGGCGGAGCGCCGCGGCGCAGGAAGCTCTACTGCGCCACCAAGTACCACCTCCAGATCCACGCCAACGGCAGGATCAACGGCACCTTGGAGAAGAACAGCGTCTTCAGTGAGTACCGCTTGGCCCCCTGCTCGACCCACACCCGCTAGCCGAGCTCCCCGAGCCCCGACGTGGAAGCCAGCCCCCCCCCCCAAAAAATCTGGCTCCCAAGTCGAGGCGCGTTCAGCCCCGACGACCGGGCCTCGCCGCCGCCTCTCGGCGATTCGACGGCTGCTCTTCGGCCACCGCTTTTCGGGTCCGGGTGACGGGACACCTGGAGAAACCCACCCGATGAACCCCATGAGCCGTCGAGAATTAAAGGTTGCCGCTTAGAGGCATGCAAAAGGGGTCAGGCGTGTGCGCTGAGAGGTTACCCACGGGAAATTTCTCACCCAAGGTGAGATTTTTAAAAAAATAAATTTAAAAATCAGATCAAAGCGGGCGGTTTTAAAGCAGAGGTTGGATGGCCATCGGTTAGGGATTCTTTTGCGGCGATTCCTGCGCTGCAAGTGGTTGGATTAGATGACTTTTAGGGTCCCTTCCAACTCCACATTTGCCGAAATCCCCGTGCCCCCGTGTCCATTGTGCAATCTTGATATGTTGTAATAATACCTTCTCTTTATTTGAGGCAGGGACTAAAATTTGAGCTCAAGACCCTGATGGGTCTTCAAGCACATTGTGTTTTTTGGGTGGGGGAGGCACGCTGAAAAAAAAATAAATAAACATTCGCACCTAGCTCCGGAAACATACCGTAGCATGTGTTGACTTTTGCCAATTCAGCTTGAGCGAAACGTAGAGGGGTAACAGTCCCTATTGTGCACAATGGGGGGAAAGCAGGCATTCTTTGGCTTTGCCAGTTCAGCCTTGGAAATTTTAAGCAATGATTGGCAACCTGTACAGAGAGATGCTTGGGATAAAGGGTCTGGCCAGGGCAAGTGAGAACCATAAGGATACGACAACAAGACCATGCTTCTGACCATGTGCAAAGTATTTTCTGTTGGCCATTGGATAATCACCACCAGCTTCCAGATAAGGCAGTGGCTGAAAAGATGTGCATGATAGATGGTTGGCAGTGCTTGTCTTTTTAGGGATAAATTTTAGAAAGGTTATTCTACCCACCCACCCTCAACAACCAGCCCGGAAGACATTATAAATATACCCCTCAAAGGAACACAGCAAGTAGGTTAAAGATCAATTTCATGGAAGATAAAGGCTGTCAGTGGCTACCAGCCTCAGTGGTTATACTCTGCCTCCATGGGTGCAGGCAGTATGTTTCTGAAGTTCAGCTGCTGGAAGCCATGGAAGGTCCCAGGTACCATTGGTTTGCCAGTGAGAACAGGATGCTGGGCTGGACAGGCAACTGACTTGATCTGGAAGGGCTCTTCTTAAGTTATGTTCTTGTGCTTGTCAGTCATCTTCCAGTGGCTACCACTGATGCAGTGGATTAATAAATGTACAGTGGTACCTCGGGTTACAGACGCTTCAGGTTACAGATGCTTCAGGTTACAGACTCTGCTAACCCAGAAGTAGTACCTCAGGTTAAGAACTTTGCTTCAGGATGAGAACAGAAATCGCGCAGTGGCAGCGGGAGGCTCCATTAGCTAAAGTGGTAAGGTGAGGTATCAGGTTAAGAACAGTTTCATGTTAAGAATGGACCTCCAGAATGAATTAAGTTCTTAACCTGAGGTACCACTGTATTAGTCTTTAAGGTGCCATGAGACACATTTGTTGGTTTTGCTACAAAGAAAGAAAGAAAGGAAGAAAGGAAGAAAGGAGAGAGAGAGAGATTACCAACACTACTGCTCTGGAAATTAAATCTCTTTCTGTGGCAAGTCTTAGTCTAAGAATTGTGGCTGTTTTGCTTCCACATATTTAATTTTTCATTTTTTCCTGTATTTTCTGCCTTGCACTTTACATATCAAATACTCCCTACAGCCAAACATAAGACACAATGGGAAACAAACCACTGTGTGTGTGTGTGTGTGTGTGTGGTCACATCCACACTATCCATTTAAAACACTCTTATGACACTTTAACCATTCTGGCTTCCCTCAAAGACTCCTCGGAACTGTAGGAAGGGTGCTGGGAACTTTAGCTCTGCGACGGGTCTCCTAACAACTCTTGCACCCTTAGCAGCCTACAGTTCCCAGGATTCTTTGGGTGGAAGCCATGGCTTTTGAAAGGACTTTAATGGATGGTATGGATGGAGAAAGGCTAGTTCCATCATGACTAGGACTAGTGAGGCTGAGATCCTTTTCTTTTTTTGCCTCTGGATGATGCGAGTGGGGAATATTTTTTTTTTAAAGCAGCTTCTAAAATTACACCCACACACCCACCAGGCTGTTCCTCTGCCGCTCCAGACAGAAAGCAAAGGGCACAAAGGAAGGGGCTGCCAAGAATCCCCAGCAAAGGTCTTTTCAGGTTTGTCTCTCCCCAAAAGGAGAGGAGCGGGTGGGAGCCCAAAGGACTTTCCTCTCCTCTCCCTTTTGTTCCTCCTCTTCCTGGAAATCTTTCCTGGACTTAACTTGTTTCTCTCCCCCACACTCCTCCTCATCTCTCCAAATATACATCCCTGTGGGGAGGAGAATCAGTGCTAGAAGAAGCAAAGAAGCTCTCTGGGATTGACAAAAGTTGAGGATCCACTGGGAACTGCCCCTGAGTTTATCCGTCTCCTAAGGTGTGAGTTCCCAGGACCAGCTTTCAAATCCCTCTTCCCTTTTATGACACCAGGTCAGATTGCAGCACTAATCCTGGAGAGGGAGGCGGCTGGTTTGTAAATAATGTGTCAAGATGACTTTCACACTTCCGTCTGTTCATCTCAGCCTGTTTGTTTGGTTTCCCTTCCCCTCCTATTCACCTTGTTTGATTTGTCTTTGGAGAGTTAGGGCACATTTTCTGAATGGGCTGCGGACATGGTAGGATGGGCACATTTGCTTATCAAAGGCAGGCTGCCTGTGTTAAAGACTATCCTGTGCAAAAGGAGCAACATCGCAGTCAGAAGTCAGGGCGTACTCCGACATGGACACCCATCACTCGGTGGCAAGGGTGCAGGGGTGGTATAATAACTGTCATCTCAAGCAGTGCTTTCAGGCAGCACAGTAATTTTCAGTGGAAGCAGTTCAGGCCAAAGCAAAACACTCTAGCAACTCCTGCACATCAAAGGGACTTAAAAGAGCTTAGCTCTGGCTCGGTTTTGCCACACCTGACTATGTGCATCACATACCTGGATCATGGAATCATAGAAATTTAGAACTGGAAGGGAGCCCAATGGTCAACTCCTTCAACCTCCTGTAATGCAGGAATCTCAACTAAAGCATCCTTGACAGATGGCCATCCAACCTGTGCTTAAAAACCTCCAAGGAAGGAGAGTCCACCACTTTCCGAGAGAGTCCGTTCCACTGTTGAGCTGCCCTTCCCATCAGAAAGTTCTTCCTGATCTTTAGCCGGAATCTCCTAACCTGAAGCCGTTGGTTCGGGTCCCACCCTCCAAAGCAGGAGAAAACAAGTTTCTTCCCTCTTCCATGTGACAGCCCTTGAGATATTTGAAGATGGCTATCATATCTCCTATCCTCTCCTATGACCAGCTTATATTCATTGTATAAAACTTTCACAAAGGTTCCTCAAGACTCTGTGGAAAGAGGAAATATATTTCAATTAATGTATAGTAGGCAGATATAAGTGAAGCAGATTAAATGAAACAGATTAAGCAGATAAGAATTAAACTCATTGAGATGTTCAAATCTTGGTCAATTGTGTGCAGCATAACCCCTCCATTGTACCACAACGTCATAGAATTGTACTGTAGAATCCTTCAGTCCTAATCTCTTGCTTCAAGAGGTTTAATCTCAGGCATCTTCAGGTAGGGCTGGGAGAGGCTCCCACCTGAAACCCTGGAACGCTGCTTTTGATCAATGCAGGCAGCACTGAACTAGATGGGCCAATGGTTTAATTTGGTTTAAAGCAGCTTCCCATTTTGACACATGCCTACCCAATCTTTTTTCCTTTGATCTCAAAGGAAAGGAATATCATTTCTTGAATGCTTGCTGTTCACCTGCACAGAGAAGAAGGGAAAATCTTCTTATGAGTAAATTTACACATACATCCACTCAGTGGCAGTCGTTCAAGTGACAGCTTGATCAAACACTTCAGACAGAGATTTAATAGCACAATACTTTTCAGTGGTGGCAGTTCGCACATGTAACTTAAAACCATCAAGTGATGCCATAGCACAATGGTGAATGTGCCAATTGTGGGATATTTTAAATGCAGTTGAGCCAACAATTTTGCTAGATAGGCACAGGATAGGAGCTGAAGCTCACAGAGTTTTCCTGTAAAATTGCTAGAATGAACCCTGTGAGAGACACTCCCACTGTGCCCTGCCAGAAGGAGGGCATAGCTATATAGTCTGCTACCTGCCTGGGCACACCCTCTTTCTCTCTTTCCATCTCTTTCTGCTCTGCCAGCAACGTGAGAACATCTGCTGGGTCTGAGCTCCAATGCTTGGACTGCATCTTAAGCTGGACTTAAGTATGTCTTTGTAACTGCATTACCATTTTAAGTCTGCCTGAACAAAGCTGTGGTTATCTGTTACTCTTCAACAAGTATTCTGAGTGAGTAAATGTTATTTCTACCTGTTAAAATATTGCTTGTTTGATTATTGCTTTAAGGGGGAGAAAAGAGGGAAATACAAGGAGAATCCAGTTTGCCTTAAATCATCCTGGATTTCTTAAACTAAAAGGCTAAAACTAGCCTATCTAGCTTCCCTTTTAAGCTGCAACGGGCTAGCACTCTGCTGAACTCACAAACCTGAGGAAGGATGATAGCTACTAAATATACCCTCTCCTAGCATCTAGTCACATCCCAGTGCCAAGCAATTCTATGGTCCTGCCATGCTGGCAGCCAGTTTATGCCCATATATTGTCAGTACTGTACATTACCCACCATCACATGTGACTTGGGTGAAAAGGATATATGCACAGAAGGAGCAGTATTTAAAATATGGCTTACTTCTTCATTGCCATAGAAATCCCAAAGCAGGTTACATTCAAATCAAATGCACGATGTATATTAAAACAAACCGGGCAGGAAGAAAATTGGTTCATCTATCTATCTGTCATCTATCTATCTATCTATCTATCTATCTATCTATCTATCTATCTATCATCTATCTATCTATCATCTATCTATCTATCTATCTATCTATCTATCTATCTATCTTCTATCATCTATCTTCTATCTATCTATCATCTATCTATCTATCTATCTATCTATCTATCTATCTATCTATCTATATCTATCTATCTATCTATCTATCTCTATCTATCTATCTATCTATCTATCTATCATCTATCTATCTATCATCTATCTATCTATCTATCTATCTAATCTATCATCTATTTATTTATCAATATAATGACAAATGATTCAGGAGTCCTCACAGAAAAGCCTGGACAAATAAATAGGTCTTTATCTGGAACTAAAAAGAGTTTCCTCTAGCCATAACTGAGAAAGGAGGGAAATCTGTAAATGGGGTGCCAGTACCATGAAGGCCCTGTCTCTCCATTAGGCATCTGTGTCCTGAACTCTCTCTCTATATATATATATATCTTGAACTTAGCACAGCAGCGTATATAGGTAGCCATTGGAATTCTTTTAGAACTAGTGTAATATGCTCACAGTAGACAGCCCCACACAACAGCCTAACTGTGGCATTTTGTGCTACCTGCAGCTTCTGAACTAACCTTAAAGGCTTAGAGCTCATTATAGTAATTCAGAGGTGGGGAGCTGGAGGGAGCTGGTGGGCCAGAACCATATAACACACCCCAATGAGCAACTTTGTTGGTCACCTGGTAACAGCAGGTGCGTCTTTAGTGCCAATCATCTGTTTGGTCTGGAAGTGCACCATCAAAGAGGATCCCTGTAACCATTGATCAGCTGGTCATCAGTTACTGGGAGCCCCTTTGAAGTCTCTGTAGAGGAAGAAATACTCCTAAAAATGGAACATTTTTAAAGGGTCCCTGAAGGGGAAAACCATAGTGCCGCTGATTCCAGCTGATTGTCAGGGCTTTAGTTTTGCAGGGCTCTATTCAAGCACCGACCACCAGCTTATTGTTGGCATCCATGCTGTGCTTTGAAGCCCCAACAATCTCTTGAATGGGCTTCAACAGAAAGCATGGCTTGAAAGTGCCTTGCAACTGTACAATGATCAGCTGTAAATCCCTGTTTGGTCCAGCCGTGACTTTATTACAGGGCAGGTGATTGGCCTGGCCAGAACAGACTGGCAGGCCAAATCAAGCCCATAGGCAGGTTTCTCATTTCTGCAGTCATCCCATGATATCCACACATTGAGTCTGGACTCCTATTCATATTCATATTATTGTTTAAATTTATTAGTATCATTTTCTTGCCACAGGCAGCTCAAAGCAACTTGACAAAAAGCTAACAAAACAAAAACAAGAAACCCATAAAGACTGGGGGGGGGGCATTAAAAATATCCATACAGGATGAAAGCCCACCTAGAAGCTGAAAGCCTGCATAAAAGGCTACACAGAGAGAGGGCTACCCTGGTTCAGAAATCCACTTGTAACATGGACATGTCAGGATGGAGCATGGGGAAGCTGCATGATATTGGCAGCATGGAGAGTGGTCCATTCTCCCTGTCCTGTCTAGGCATGGTCCCTCTTCACATTATTAGTACAGTGGTACCTCAGTTTAAGAACAGCCTTGTTTACGAACTATTTGGTATACAAACTCTGCAAAACCAGAAGTAGTGTTCCGGTTAGCAAACTCTACCTCGGTCTACGAATGGAAGCTAAATAGTGGAAGGCACCGTGGGGAGGCCTCATTAGGGAAAGCCCGCCTTGGTTTAAGAATGGCTTTGGTTTAAGAATGGACTTCCGGAACAGATTAAGTTCATAAACCAAGGTACCACTGTATAGGAATGGGGCTATAGCCAGAATCCTGTTCTATGTAATGACATTGCAGGTGGACTGGGAGAAGGTGTGGACTGAGGCTATTCCTGCCCTGACATGCCCCCATTGCTACCACTCTCCAGTCCTTCCACTAGCAGAGTTTCGTCAGTGGTGGGGATTTGCCGGCATATCTCTGCTTTGCCAGTCCATCCCTGAAGTTACATCAATGATGTTTTTCTATCATCTGCCAGTGCAGAGGACTTACACCAAGTCTTGAGGCTTCTCTGCCAGCATAGGATGATGCTCTGAGTGATGTACATACATGCAGGTGAACTGGCCATAAGACAGTTTCAGTGCAAAAGAGAGTACAAAATAGCTCCACCATCCTTCCTGTGAAGGAGAAGGCAGTATTTTTCAAAAACTGTTAAAAGACCTTAACTGAGTTTAAGCAGGAACAATTTCTTAGTGCATGAGATAACAAATTCAGTATTGAAAGCAACAAGCTTTTAAACTACTGGTGTCACGATCTGAAATGAAAATCATAAATCTGTGTGTGAATGATGTTGATTATTCTGACAGCATCTCCCAAGTGCTTTCCTATCTGTTGGGTCTCCGTACATATAACATTTTTTCAGCGTACATATAAAATCTGTTTCCCACCCCACTCCGTGGAATGTCTAAAACCACCATGTGACTTGCATGAATGTGATGGACAAGTGTTTGAAAGCATATGTCTAGTTATTTGTTTTTACATGTTGTGTTTTCTCCTGTTTATTGTACAATCCTTTGTGAGTCTTGGGCTTTAAACGCAGAATGCATTTAAAACACACACGGAAGCGAGCAGGCAAATACGTGTCACATGGCTGCTACTCTGCTCAGAGAGCCAGGCTTGCTTGCACACTCTTTTTGGATGTTAACATAGTGGGAAACACCAGTTGGTTGCTCTTTAATGTGTGAAGCAGTCCGGGATACATGCATACCTTTGGCTTTCTTGTTGTTTCACTTGTCTGGGCGATGAGACCCTTTCCTTTGATGGTCTGAAATAGTTCCACTCTTTGAATGTGGCTTAGACTGCCACATTGTCCTTCCTTGCAAGGGCTGCGCTGACTTTCTAAATGACAGACTCCATTCATGGTTCCATACGTGGCTTCTAAGATGCTTCAGCCTCTCGTCTGAACTCCATTTTGCCCTCTGGAGATCTCAGCCGAAGCATTGTCCCGAAATGGGCAGCTTTGTGGTTTGCTTCAGTAAGTCAAGCACCCTTGTGTCCCCTAAGAAAGGCATTAAAGGGGATTTAAACTTTTTATAGACATATAGGATTAGGTGGCCCTCTAGTTCAATGTCAGATCTTTCTTTTTTCTGAGGCAGTTCAGTCTCAATCAAACAGCTGGGGATTTACTAGCAAGAGTTTGCTTCAAACAATTCCCATGCTTTTATTTTTCTTCCCCTTCCCCTTTTCTTTTCAATACAAAAGGGTTTGCTTATGAACTAAGTGGTGAATGCAGGTATCTTGTGAGATGGTGTTCTTAAATGGGATGTTTCCCAGATGGAAGTAGCATTTGGGCAATTTAATATTAACAGCTGAAGACACAGCCCATTCCCTGGGAGACCCAGGTTCGCAATTCTTGCTCAGTTCTAGATTCAGTCCATAGCCTTGGACAAGTGGCTCTCTGCATCATTTTTTCACTTCTGTGGGAATTGTAATAATCAACTTCATCAACTTATTGGGAGGCTGAACGGATGACAGGCAGTGTGATGTAGTGGTTAGAGAGTTGGACTGGGACCTGGCAGACCAGGGTTCAAATCCTCTCTCACCTGTGAAGCTCTCTGGGTGGCCATGGGCCAGCCATCTGCTCTCAGCCTAACTTACTTCACAAGGTTGTTGTGAGGATAATATGTGGGGGGAGGGCTGTGTATGCCGCCTTGAGCTCCTTGAAGGAAAGATGGGATACAAATGAAATAAATAAATGAAATGAAACAAATCAGTTTGCAGGGCAATGATCTCTGGGGTGCCTCGTCCCTCACAGTGTTGGGTTTCATATTTGCAATCTGGTGACCTCCAGAGCTTCTGGGTATGAATGCCTGGCAGAACAGATCTGAGACAAGTATGTAGTCCCAGTGCCAACAAGTGGTTTTATCTGCAGGTAAACATGGGAGGTTCATGATGTAAAAGTGCTATAAAAATTGTTAATAATAATAATAATAAATAATAATTCATTGCACATCATTGTATATCATTAAGCCAAAGCCTTCTTTTTCTGTTTTAGGCATCCTTGAGATTACTGCAGTGGACGTTGGAATTGTTGCCATCAAAGGCTGTTTCTCCGGCAGATACCTGGCCATGAACAAAAGAGGCAGACTTTATGCTTCCGTGAGTGCTATTTACAACAGAAGCATCTTAACTATGGCAAGGAAACTGAAGCATCCTACACTGGAGTGCCAGTCATTTTCAATGGGGATTTAAATACCATTGTAGTCCAAAGGACGCAAATACTGGTGTCTATGTACAAACGTTTATAGAGAACAGAAATATGTCCTTTGGTTTTAATGTGGGGATTAAGTAGCCAATGCTTGGAGGCCTCTAGATAAACTATTATGGTAAGTGCCAGGCATGCTCATTTTCCTTTCATGTGTGCTGCTGATCAGCCAAGGAAGGAGGGAGAGAGGGAGAGAGAGAAAAAGAGAGAAAGAGAGAGAGCTCAAAGGATTTATAACTACATAAATTTACATGTCAAGATATCCTTTTAGAGACTGTAAGTAACTCAGGTGAATAAGTGTAAAGAGGTAAGGAAGTCTGCAATTCACATTGTGATCAGGAAGGTTTCTCAAAAGAAAAATCTCCTGGAGATGTCAATGGGAGTCCCATTTGCACAATGCTATGAATGGGCTCCCAGTGTGCGTAAAGTAATTTAAGTTGGGATCTAACACAGCAGAGAGGTGCAGCACCAAAGCTGCTAACAGACGGAAAGAATGTGCAAATGAAATGAAGTTTTCCTCCAACACTTTCCAATTACCCTTCTGTACTTTAATCCGACTTCCTGGTATGTATAGGATAGGATACTTTACAATGAGGATTTGAGAGATACTGCACTGCCAGATAAGGAAGGCTGAAGAAGGGTTTTAACACACATTTACTGTGCATATTATTTAATGGAACCCAGTGCAATGTTGGGGTGTGTGTGAGAGAGAAAGAACTGGGAGAAACGTAAGAGAAAAGCATTAACCTGTAGTGTTAAGATGAGGAAATGACTCCCATCTTCCCTCTCAATAACCCACGTGCAACATGTGGCTGAGAGGCTGCCACTGTCAGCACCCTTAACAAACCATCATTCCCAGGATTCTTTGGGGAAAGCCATGACAGTTAAAGTACCAAAGCACTTTTAAAGAGTGCTTTAAAAGTATGGCGTGGATGTGAGTTGCCCGCGTTAGTTAATTAATTACTGGATTCCACGGTTAGCCAACTCCCCCCCTCAGAATGGAGCATATGAGTTTCCCAAGTATTTTCCCAAGCATTAGGGATTATTGTGCTCTAGATCAAGGGGCTCCTAAACTACCCCTTGGACCCCTAGTGGTCCATCAGTTTTGTTTCAGTGTCTGTAAAAATACAATTAAAAAAACAACAACATACAGCATCTAGCACAGCGCATTAAAATTGCTACAAAAGACCAACAAATCATTGAGTGGTCCCTCAGGAATTTTCAAATGGTCCATGGGAAGAAATGTTCTGGAACCAATGCTCTAGATGAGATGTTAGAATCAGTGGGTGAACTAGCTAGAGCAGCAGCTGGTTAATTGCTGGAGGCCAAACTGCATCTGTGAGGGCAAATTTTAATTAGTCGGGCTGAGAGAAGATAACTTTCCTCGTAAGAGCAAATGGCAGGCTTTTGTTCTTTTGGTTTTGGTAACTTAGGCATCTTTAAATATCCCCAAATGCATACACACAATATAAATCAATGCAATTCAGTGATTATAAATTTATACAAGTCATTGATTCATGATACATTGACTAAAGAATTATTTAGGTCAACAGTCGCAATTAAAATTCTACCCATTTTTGTTAATTTTTCATCTGCAGTTTCCACCTGCAACTTTCTATTAGCAATAGGTATTTTTCAGCACTTATCCTTCAACTTGGAGGGCCACAAAAATTGTGACCCACCAAGCCAAACACAACCCACTTTTCATAAACCCACTTTTCATAAATATGCCATATTTAGGGGAGGATTTACAGTTCTTTTATATATGAAGAGTTGTCCACAACTCTGCCATATCTCCATAGACCTCTATTCTGTTAGGCAGCTTTCCCTAATAACTATAACTGTGGTTAGCTGAAAACAGAAGCAAAAATGTCTGATCTTCCCATGTCCATGCCAACAGGGGAGAAGGCATGGAGCAGTGTGTGAGCCCAGGCCTTACCCAGCCTTGTTGCCATAATGGCAAAGTATGGTTTAGCATTAAGTCTGAATGCAGCCACTCAGGCTTCATTTAGTCTTCTGACACTGTTGCCTTCCTTGCTATGTTGTGTTTTAATGTTGTAACCCATCCTGGGACCTTAGCTTGAAGAGCAGATAATAAACATAACAACAACAACAAGGCAACTTGTTTGCCTGTAGAAAACCATTATATAAAATAATTGCAATTGCTTCATTAAACTTCTCTTTATTGGTGTTTTTCTTATGCATTATCCTTGTGAGATTTGCAGCCTTGGATTCACAGCTGGGGTCTACCGGGGGTCCCTGATGTAGTACAATTGAAGAATGGACCTATTGACTCCCTCTGCTGGGCTAACCGATAATTCCCTTCTTGTAGCCTTTTCAATCACATCATGCGAGGAGAGTAGCCAGTGGCCGTGCTCCCAGTTCCAGGGGAATCAGAGCTCTGAGCATCAGAAGTAAAATATGTGGAGAGCTACAAAACAGATGAAGGAAACTATGGGAAATGGGCATACCCTACAGACAGTTAGTCCGTGGACTATTGAACTGGACATCTCTACAAGTGCTGATTTTGTTGGAATTTAAGCATGTCTAATATTCTCCAGAGCAGAAGTAGAGAAGCTAATTTTCAGCCTCAGGTCCACATTACTTCATGGGCAACTTTTTGGGGTCACATGCCAGAGCCCTTAGTTTTGCTTAAATTGTGTGAATAGTTTTCAAATTGATTCTGCATGCATACAGAGTTTTTGATCCCTGGAGGTCCCGACTTGTATCCTCTTTTATGTGCCACGGTTAGCTTGCATGAAGACAGCTACATTTGATCTGAAATAGCCATTAGTTCTTCTTTTGGATTTCTGGAACTGATGGTTCTCCTCATTACATTACAGGAAACCTACAATGCTGAGTGTGAGTTTGTGGAAAGGATTCACGAGCTAGGCTATAATACGTATGCATCCCGCATATACCGGACTGTGCCCAATGGAGCCAGCGGTAGGCGCAAAGCTAGCGCTGAGAGACTCTGGTATGTCTCCATCAATGGGAAAGGACGACCAAGAAGAAGCTTCAAAACCCGTCGGACCCAGAAATCTTCTCTCTTTTTGCCGCGGGTGTTGGATAACAAAGACCATGATATGGTCCGACTATTCCATACAAATGCTAAGTACAGAGAGAGCCTGCTAAAGCCTCCGAGCAAGAACCAGAGGAGACGCAGAGGACACTAAGGGATGCTCTGTGGGGAGGGCAAAGGATGGAGAACCAAGAAGACAAGTCAGTGTTCATAGTGCTACTAAATAACTAACAAATATGACTGCGTGATCAGTGTGGACTCAGAAAGTAATGTTACGCTGTATGTATATATTTTACCAGTTGTCTCACCAAACATACTTGCTAATAGGTGTTTTAGACTTATAATCCATTGTTAAGGGCATATGATATAATAAATCACAGCATGTCCACGTGTAAATTAGATGGATGCAACAATTCTCATTGTTTGTCTTTGACTATTCTTTCTCAGTTGCTTTTTCATTAAGTATCGCCATTTTGTTAAATTAAGAATATTTAAACACAGTCATCTCCATTCCTCCGTAGGGTTGTCATCTGTTCAGAGAAAACTTACTCTGATGGAAATCAAATTAGTTTTAATCAATTACATTTGTATACATTGGCTTATGACAAAACAATAGTTGAAGAAACCCACCCTCCCTTCCTTCCTTCCTTCCTTCCTTCCTTCCTTCCTTCCTTCCTTCCTTCCTCCCATCACTTGAACCTAGTTCCCACTGAAATTATGGGATGACAGACCTGTCCCATTGATTTCAGTGAGACTTCGGGTCAACTAATGTTACATCTTTACATCTGAATCCAGCCCAGTGTTTTTAGACAGTGTATGTATGTGTCATGGGAAGAACCACCTTAGAGGAGGCATAAACGTGCAGTTTTATATTTTTAAAAAATTAGCTTTGAAAAAAGAAGTATTGCCCAGTTAATTTGGGATACCTTTTGAGTTTATTAAAAAATATCATGCAGTGCAATTCTGTATGCGCATACTCAGAAATAAGTCCCATTGAATTCATTGGAGTTTACTCTCATATATGTGGGTATAGGGGAAAGGTTGCAGCCCTGGCTTTCAGGTACTTATCATTGTGCAAACATAATATTCCCCTGCTCCAATTTAGAACAAATATTAAGAACTGCAATTTAAGAATGATTTATTTTGTAAAATCTTCTTTAAATTAATTTGCCTTTCATTTTAATCAACAGTAGCTACCAGATATTAGTCATTACTCTTTATTAATGTGAAATGCTAAGCAGAGTGCATTTCGGGAAAGATGCATGCTGCTAAGATTATTGTTCTTTTTTTTTTTTAGTTTTGTTTGTTCAAAACTTGAGGATATTTTAAAATAACTTCCTGTGCATTTATAAAGCTTGCTGAAGTGTGATATACATTATTTAAAATCAGGCTTCAGGAGAATATTTAAAACAGGCTGCTAAATGCTATAACAGCTTCTCTGCTTTGACGTGGAGCTATGTTAAATCACTTCATTGAAAGAGCAAAGTTCAAATATCATCTCACACAACATTAAAAAGTACATTGGAGCCTTTCTGAAATGGTGTTTGTGCCGCTTGTTAACATATTCAGTGTGAGATAAAATGTGGGATGAGATCAAATGCAATACTGGCCAGTGGCCGCTACAGGATTTTTCTTTTCTTTATAAACCCAAACTAATTTCAGAGTCTTGTGTGTAATTTTCTTTAGGTTCATATCAGCAAGGAGGTCAAAAGAGTTTTGGTACCTTAGATACTCAGTTATTGTGGTATGCCTGTTCCTAGGCAAGAGCTTGTTTCATTTGATGTATGAAGCATATATAAATAATATTTTTTAAACTTCTTTTGATTATCAGCAATGCTAAGCTGGTTCTTTCTGTTTGTCTCTCTCTCTCTACCCTGGATCACATGTTGTGTTAAGCCAGAGTAGAGGGGAAAGGTTTGTAGGGAACACAGCACTTGGTTGGAGATCTGGATCATCTGATCTGATGCAAGGATAGAGAACCACTTTAGCTCAGTGGGCCAGATCTTTATCTCCTCCCACCCTCAGGCCAACTTTGACAGGTGAGCAGGGCTGCCCACACGTCAAACATCTGACAACATGATGACTGATAGGCAGTCCCACTCACCTCTCAAAGTTGACTCACGATGACTGATAGGCAGTCCCACTCACCTCTCAAAGTTGACTCACGTGGCAGGGGGTCCACTCTGCAGCACATTCCCTGCAGAGAACATGCTGACAAAGCAGCATCGAGCAGAATTGACTTCTCCGCTCATCAGTAGGGATTCAGTCCTGTTCCCTGAAGGTATGTGGATAGGATTCAACTTTAAGGTGAAAGGAGAAGTTTCCTATCTGTCAGGGTCCAGGATGAAGGCTGCATATACACCATACGTACATTCAAAGCACATGACTTCACTCAAAGAATCCTGGGAATTGTAGTTGTTAAGGGCTAGGAATGGTAGCTTTGTGATGGGTAAAACTACAGTTGCCAGGATTCTTTGGGGGAAGTCATGTGCTTGAAATGTGCTCATATGTAAGTGTGCATGTACAAGGGGACAGGGGATTCTGCACCTTAGTGGCGTAGAATTTCAGCAGCTGTAACTTCTCTTCTGCATACTGTACTGTAGGCTGCACTCCAGGCACTGATTTTGTTTGAAAACCCCGGCTTCAGCAACTGAGTTTAGGGATCTTTCTCCCTGTGTCTGGATTAATGTATGGCAACCCACAGCCCCAGCCTTACCCTGATGCCACATGAGGGAACGTTGCACTGTGTTGGATGCAAAGGCTAAGGTCAGAGCTGTCATGGTGGTTGACAAAATAGACAGGTCTTGCAATATTCAGGCCAAACCGATCATTTCCCAATCATATCAGAAAGTGGAGAAATCACAGGGCCTCAAAGCTATACTGATTTTCAGAGATAAATTTAAGGATCTCATAGCTACCTGAACTCTCTTGACTGCTAGGCTTGAGAAACAAGCAGCTCTGTAATGTGTCATTCCAGAGAAATATGACCATAACGAACTGAATTGGCTTTAAGAAGGATGCAATTTTATGCTTTCCATTCTACCTATCCATTTCCTCTTCCTTTCTTCTTTTTTTCTTTTCATTTCCCACTAGTAAAACCCTTTCTATATAGAAATAAGTATTGGATGCTTAAGACATCCTCCCCTCTTTGAAAGAAAGAAAAGCTATTTTAAATAGGCCTTTGAAGATTTCAGCAAAGCTCAAGTTCAAATGTCTCCTGTTTCCTTTTGGAAGATCTGAAGGATTTGGGAAGGTGAACAAGCAAAGCTATAATTAAAGAACAGTTGATGGTAACCATCCCCTCCTGGTTAGCATTCTCAAGCCACCTCCAAATATAGACTGCAAAAGAAAACTTCATCCCGTTTTAGGCTTGCAATAGTTCAGATGCCTCAATGGCAGAGCAGAAAGAAAGGCCTTCTGAAAAGCTGAGGGCATACACAGAAAGTAGTAATAATAATAATAATAATAATAATAATAATAATATAAATAGCGTGCCCTTCCCCTCACACAGAAAACCTCCCAGTGTTCGTGTGGGATGACTGAGAAGCACATTTGGATGATGGTCGGTTGCGAGGGCGCCCTCTGCAGGAATTAAGAAAGATACCTACTACTGACCAATCCTCCGTCCCGCCCTCCGCCGTGCTCGACACTCACAGGGTGCTAAATCTGCCACTTGGGGAGGTTGCTGGCGCTGGCAACCCATGCTATGTCACTGTCTGGGAGTAAGCCACACAGAATTATATCAGACATACTTCTGAGTAGGCGTGGTTAGGATTGCACTGTAAGTTTCTGTGAACACTGAATTTTTAAAAATTGGTTGGGAGGGTTGACTGGTGAGAAAGATGAGGGAGGTATGGGGGGGCGGTGCATGCCATGGATTGAAATGTTTTGATGTGGGCAGTTTGTGCACAGATATGTTTATGTCTTCTTCCTTGCCTCTGTGTTTATCTCCACCCTCCTTGCATAAAATGTTTTAGAAAGGTAGGTAATAAATGCTACTATAAAAAAAAATAACAGCACAATCCTTTACATTTCTACTCAGAAGTTAACTCCATGTGTATATAAGCATACACATACATCAGAATGATTTTCTTTTATTTCTAAAAAAAGGTCTTACAGATAATAATCCACGAAACATTAGAACATGAACATCCATAAATGTCATTAAAAGAGCTTTTGTTGTTGCTTTGGAGAGCATTTTCCTTTAAACGTGACATCATGTTATTTTAAATTAAATAAGTAAAAATCAAATCAAATCAAGATTTAATGCCATTACAAGAACAGAATACTCAAGCTCACAACTCAGCTAAATCTCTTGTACTCTGCAACACAGAATGTGTAATTATGCACTGTGGGATAAATTCAAAGAAACGCTGAGACTGTTTCAAAGGAGGGGCCATGTGAGAGAATAATGAGTTGCCTTGCTTTTCAAAAGAAACTCTGGGCACATCTATAGGGCATACAAACTGGAACAGACCTCCCTCAAGGCATGGTGGTAGTGAGATTGTATGCTCTGATTGTAAAGGCCCCTATGGATGAGTTTTCTTGGAAAAACAGGCCGTGACCAACCAGGGTCCAGGCCAAGCTTGCATCAATGTTTTGTATTCAACAGCGATTAGCCTCTCCACCCTAGAAGCTGATCTTACAAATAAGTCAGCATTGTGCATGGAATGGAGGCAGTTTAAACAGCGGCCCTCTTCCATGGTCCCGCTGTCAAAATTCAGTTGCATTCCAGCTGGAAAAGCAACGACAGCTATGAACATGGTACAAGTGATTTCTGTTAAGCGGCTATTCAGCATTCCTATTGCAGAAATCATCTTCATGTTTGAATAACCTATTTGGATTCTTTTTCCATGAAAATAACCACCTATTTGGATTCCGTTTCCATGAAAAAAATATCCATGTACATAGCCAAAAACCTTCTCTATGAATTTCTAATTTGATGTGCAGCATTTTATTTTTTGTAAAAGGAGTAGTCAAACATGCAGCATTCATAAGAGTCTGAATAGTTTGCTGAAACTGTATTACATGATTCTGGTGCTTGTGAAGATCAGCTGTAAATCAGGCAATGGACAGAGGAATGATTTGATGCAAGAAAACCTATGGCCCCTGTTGGACTCCACAACTTCTATCAGCCTCAGCCCCATCTACTGTGGCCAATGTCCCAGGATGGGAATTGTAATCTAGCAAGGGAGGTTCCCCATTTGTGGTTCAATGAACAGGTGAATTGCCATGGATGTTCCAAAATCCCTTAATAGCAAGGAATTTATTTGTGCAGGAAAATTCATGTGTGCTCTGCATTGTTTGCAGGAGCACACTTGCCATCATTGGACATGGGTCTGCTTTTACAATGGCCTGACAGGTGTGTTGCTTACATACAGTTGGAAGGGTAGTAGCTGCATCTGGAATGGCCAGTCCAGTGTAGACATCACTGAGACTGGAGTGCAAGCATGCTGGGAATGTGAACTTGGAAGAGCACATCTTTTGTTTGAGGCTCTGTGTCCTAAAATCTTGTGATGCCCCAAATCTTGCTGACGCAGCACATATGAAAGGCATTGAGGCATCATACCTGACGGTTGTAACTTGCCCACGACTCACCTCCATAAAGCAGTGTGCTCAACACACAAGCCTGGTAGACCTTCATCTTGGTATTGGTCATTAGCATCACATTCTTTCATACCCTTTTGGAGAGGTGAGCCATGGCTGTAACTAGCTTTACCAATGGCATCAATGGAAAGGTTGTCAGTTATGGTGGAACCCAGGTAGACAAAATTGTCTTCCACCTCAAGTGTGTGGTCACCAGTGCTGATGCATGGAGTGCTGGTGATGTCCTGATGATCCCACAGCAGTAACTTCAGTATGAAATATAAACTCATTGGGTTGCAGCCAATGTTAATCCTACCCAGAATAGATCCAAATTACTATCACATTGCTTTTGTGCCTGGAGACAGATTGGTGGGAGCTCCTGGTTAGAGCAATGCTTTTAGAATGAGATTGGCTGAGTGGTGCAGAGCGCTTATTATCCAGAGAATGGGAGATTGACAGAAATATTGCACTGAGCCTCTTTAAATTCTAATGGATTATGGAAGGATTTGTAGAACAGGAAAGTGTGTGGCTTTGAGATTTGGGGTATTCTATTTTATTTTTCGCTTGGTAGGGCTAAGCCCTGGTTGCCCCAATAGACCAGCCTTCACTTGTTTTAATCAGGGAGTAGGAAAAATGAAGAGTGGAAACAGTGCGACAAACTAACAAACTAGAATTCAACAACAGTAATTCACTGTAGTCATGTTTCAAAGGTATCCTCTCAGTTAACAATGTATACAGCATCAGACTGAGGGCAGTGCAGGTGGTTCCCCCACACAGGGGAAATCAAGAAGATCCATAACTGAGAAGATCCAATGGGGTTGCTAAATTTGGCCTTGCTCAAGGTGCCATTCTGCCAAAGATTACCAAAGCCCGCCCCTGAAGAATACTAGTATCTTGGGGGGTCCTCAGATACATGGGGCCCCAATTCTGTGCATACCCATAAACCCACCAGTCGTTTCAACTATTAGTAAATGCATTCATGTCCATATTGACGTGACCTGATGTGGACCTGGTTCTGCCCCCTTCATGCTCACCCCCTTAGTTACTATTTTAGCTATGGGGGGGCAGTGACTGC